CAAGATTGAGCTAAACAAGGATTTCCTATTCCTAATTTACACATGTTTACACAATCTTATAATATTATTTTATCTTCGTGTTGGATGCATGAAGCTACATTATTCTTTTTGTAAATATTTAAACTTGACGTCATCAGAGTTGTTTGTTTCTACTTTCGTGAAAATATAACATATCATAGTAGCAACCAGCTATATCATTACTATATTTTTATTAACTCACTTTCTCGACTGCTCGGTACAAATTTTGCAATAGATTTTTAAACTTACTTTCCGATGAGCTAGAAAATTGAAACTTTGAAAATAGCTTAAAATTGGATGACAGTGCAATATAAAATCAGTGCCTTGTCTGTCCATTTGTTTGTTCGGTCCAAATATTCAAATCGATTATAGAAAATTTATAAAGAACTCAGAACTGGAAACGTGGTAAAAATGCTCGTCATTTTTAAATTACAATTCTCAACAAAAGTTAGTTGGTGTAAAATGCCTCTACGATACAGGAGTAAAATTTTTAGTTCAATATAAATAATGAATCTTTGCAGGAAGCCAGGAAGGAAAAATAAAAAGTATAATTTGATCGAGTCTATTTGTATTCTGTTGCTTGTAAAATGTTGATGGCATCTAAATAACATTTACCTGGCTACAAGACCAGTTTTATATTCTGTGCCTTTAATAATAATAATGTCCTGGCTGAATTTTGGTCACGGCCATTTTCAACGGAAACGCAACCAAACCATCTGCGCAGGTCAGGATTATACTGCACAAGTGTGTACGCAAGCACAGGATATATACTGTCTATTCCTTCACTCTCATAGTCCGATGCGATAATTCGACACAACGAGAGAGAGTCGGCAAGGAAGCCTCCAACTTCCTGACTCTGGGCTGCTAATGAGAATTTCAAAAAGTAAGGAAAAATGAGTAGGTAGTAATTTTTTCGAGGAATGACTATTTAAGGAGGAAATAAGTGCGCTTTGAAAAGTTTTTTAAACTTATCAATAGACTGTGCACTTCTAATGTGCAGCGGTAGGGAGTTCCAGAGCCTAACAGCTTCAACACAAAAGGATTTAGAATAGAAGGAAGTATTATGGGATGGAATTTTTAGGGTGAGGATTTTATTAGAGCGAAGAGAGCGACAGTGACTGTCACGAAGAAACTTAAACCGCTCTTTAAGGTAAGTAGGGGAAGTGGGATTGAATAGAATACAGTATAAAAGAGAAAGAATGTGAGTATTCCTGCGAAGACGGATCGGAAGCCACTTGAGTTTTTCGCGATATTCGGAGACATGGTCATATTTTCGAAGTCCAAATATGAACCGTATGCAAAGATTCTGAATGCGCTCAAGTTTATTAAGCAACTCCTCATTTAAATTGAGATAACACGCGTCAGCATAATCGAGAATCGGTAAAAGAAGTAATTGTGCAAGCGCAATTTTGAGTGGGTAGAGAATTACTTAATCTACGGAGAGATCCGACCGATGCAAACACCCTCCTACTTACCTCGCTTACCTGCGGAGCCCAAGATAAAAATTTGTCAAAAGTAACACCTAGATTTTTAACGGTGTCACTATATGGCACAGGTGTCCCATCAAAACCAATACCAGGTAGAGAAGAAAAATCTATAAGATTAACCAATTTTATTGACTGCCTATAATTATTGCTTTTGTTTTTGATGGATTTACTTTAAGACCGTATGACTTACTCTAATCCACAATTAAGTCAAGATCTTTGTTTAATAAGTTTGTTTGGTTATATTTGTTGAAGAAGAAGCAGGTCTCTTAAGTTCCAGTGAGACCAAAAAGGAGTTGATAAATGCAGATTGTTTTTAGGGTTCTAGGTAGGTAACTCAAAAGGAAAAAAACGGAACTCTTCACTTTGTTGTCCGTCTGTCTGTCTGTCTGTCAAGACCTTTTTTCTCAGGAACGCGTGGAGGTATCAAGCTGAAATTCATATCAAATACTCAAGTCTACTGTCTCTTAGAGCTGTGAAAAAATCAAACTTCTAAGCCTACGCAATCAAAAGATGCAGCCGTTTATGCCGTAAATTTTCGACATTCACAAGGGAATCAAAACCTACAGGGTACTTCCCGTGAACTCAGAATCTTGAAATTTGGTACAAAGTGACGTTTTATAGCACAGATAAAGGAAAAATTGCGAAAAGCATAAATTTTTAGTTATACGAGTATCATATAATAAAAAATATTTTTAATAATTTGAAACTTATATAATTATTTATTCGGAACCCTCGGTGCGCGAGTCCGACTCGCACTTTGCCGGTTTTTTACACAATAAGTGTGATAAACGAGCACACAGTGCATTTGATGATAAGTGGATGCGGCGGCCTATAGACATCTATCCTCGATATAAGTATCAAAACCGTTATCATCCTTTAGGACTAAGATGGAATGCATCATAATTTCCAGCAAAAAGGGTCTCTGCTTCTCCACACTCACCATACCAAACACAAACATTAAGCTGCTATTTTACGCTGATATTCTGTGAGAGTATGGTCCTTTCCAGGTCGAGCCGACGCATTTGCGCTACAAACATAATATAGCTGCAGCGCAGCTCTACCATGTTCAATCATTTTTATACACATCTTTATTGGATTAGACTAAACAGATTATAATATACATTTTAATTACGTATATGAAGAAAAAACTTTTAATGTAAAATCTAACAGCAATATATCAGTCTTGTTTCTTTGATAAACGAAATCAGGATTTTAAATTTAGAAATATAACGTGTTAAGTAACGTGTTATATCGGAGAGATATTACTTATTGCGTTAAATTTTTCGTTTAATTTACATAAATATGCCGAAAGCTTGCCACCATATTAACACGTGTAACAACTCCTTTTATTGATGATTTAAGAATTTTTTTTATAGAAAAAGAAGCAAACGAGCCTGAACTATGAGTGACCATCGCCGACCATGAACAACTGCAACACAAGTGGAATCGCAGGGGCGTTGCCGGCCTTTTAAAAAGGAGTAAACTCATTTGTTGAAGGTTCCTAAGTAAACGATCTGGAAGCACCGCTGCTGGAAGCCGACTCCACACCGAAGCCGTGCGAAGAAAAACTTTTGGGTAAGTCAGATAGCGGTGGACCGCCAAACATCCATATTTATATTAAATTTCTTCATTCAAACATTTTCGGAATTTAATTTATTATACCAACAATTATTTTTTGGTAACTTAGCATTTAGTTTGTGTCGTTAATATTTAAAACGTAAGTCATATCTGAAATCAGAGTTTAGTATTTATACAAAATATAAATTATTTTTGCATAAACCCTAAAAGCTGTTTGCGTGTTGCCGGATTCAGTAGTCTATCGTAATTGTCTCTATGACTCTCGCTGACTCTCCATACTCCTATCTTATCGTAAAGCGTACGTTGCGCATGCTTATACAGTATTTATTTAATATTCTGCGCTATTGATAAATATGCCGATAGCAAGGGAAGTTTTTTTTCTATAAGTATTCGATCGGCTAAAGTCATTACAAGTCTGATATGTTTGAAATGACCCGTTGATATATATTGGTTACGCGACAGTTTTAGGCGTTTCTTCAGCCATATTTCAAAACACGTACGGGATAAGCATCCGTAAAATTCGTTTATTATTAGAATCTATAGTGATTCTACTATAATGATGCCAAATCCGGTTTTTTTTACTGAATAAGGATGACAAGCGAGCACACAGTCCAAATGATAAGCGGATACTGTGGCCAATAGACATCTACATTAATTTATGCTCAATTAAGAATCAAAATGCAGATGCGTACTACTGAGGACTAAGATGGAATGCCTCGTTTCTAGTAAAAAGGGTCTCCGGTTTTCTACGCTAACTATACGAAACAGCAGCATTAAGCTGCAATTTTATGCTGGTATTTTGTGAGCGTGGTCCTACAACGGTCGAGCCGAGGCATTCGCGCTATAACGAAATAGCTGCAGCGTGGCTCTACCACTTTATAAAAAGATAAAATTACTTAATGTTATTTAAAATCTTGATGACTTTATAGTGAAACAAGAATGAGCACTTATTATGAAATAAAAAAAAAACACAATAATAATTAAGAGTAATCTGGAATAGTGTCCGTTATATTTACGACTCGGTATCAAACCGCTTTTACCTTACAAATAAAAATAAGGTTGAACCAGTGCGAAACAAACGAGTTTTGGGCGTGGATTGCTATTAATAATAATGCGTAATTCATGCACAGGTATTAACGCTATAAATCTTCTATAGAATGATTGTAAAAGTATTTTTAAACGACTTCAAAAAGGAGGAGGTTCTCAATGCGAGTGTATGTTTTTTTTTGTACATATATTACGCTATATTTTCACAGATTGTGAACCAATTTTGATGATTCTTTTTTTATTAAATAGTTTATACTTCAAGAGTGGTATATAAATTTGGAGAACAAGTTCGACCCCTAAGAGTCGCAAATAAATAACTTCTTTTTTAGCAATTTGAAGTAGGTTTTTACTTTTTGTTGAAAGATATAATTATAAAATAAACTTTTGTACATTTTAAGAGTTCTTATATTCGAAATATTTTCCAAAACTATAATTAATAAACTGTCCCTTTTTTCTTAATTTTCCCTCCTGTCATTGAGATACACACGAGGAAAGTTAATGATTTGTGATATGTAGTTGTTATGAAGGTAGTATCATTGTAGTGTCAATAACACGCTGCATATTATACAAACCTCTATTTTTATAACTATGTACCTACTATACTCTGGTTACCTTTAAAATGGTTGCTATGGAAAATTGTCTGAAATAATAATGTTCGTTAATATTTGCGCATAAGAACCACAATTAAAAACGATTTAAGCACATTAAAAATCTTTTTAAAATAAAAAGTATAATTAAAGAAACTAAGTCATTGCGAAAAATATATTGATATTGGTGATTTTGTGCAGTATTTTTCGCGGGAAAATGCCCACACCGCATGTGAGTTGCGACAGGCAAAGCAAACTTCCATTTTCCATTTTGTTTCGCGCCAGTTTAAACTCATCCGTCACAGGTAGTTGACGTATAGCTTCATTCGCTTAAAATGTGCGCCTTGTTACGCGAAAATTATAACACTTTTTAAACATAAAAGTGACTGTTTGTTAAGTCTATAATGTGATCATAATTAGCTTGTTAGATTAGATTACTTTCCCTGTGATATTTTGACGAACTATATTTAAATATTTAAGTGTAAAAAATGGCCGAGGAAAAGTAAGTAAGAATTTAGATTAGCAACAATTTGTTTTCTCTGTTTCTAATACAATAGGCGCTAATGTGCTTTGCGAATTCGGAAGTACAGTACATCGCTGTTAAGCCGAACCAATTGTTTTGTGTGTACAACAAAGTAATATTATTATAAAGACTATAATATATTATCTGTGCTCGCGGTACCAATTAAATAAATGGGTTACGAAAGTACGTTCGCTTTGAGTTTAAATTCACATAAAGTCCTAGTAAAGTAAAATATTGAAGCTAATCCAAATTTTGTGCATTTCCTAATTTTCAGATCGACATAAAGTTTAAGATAAGATTTTTTAAGATAGCTGCTTAATGCTGCTGTGTTTCGTATGGTGAGCGTGGAGAACCGGAGACCCATTTTACTGCTCTTTTTACTTCTAGTCCTCAGGGGTGACAACGCATCTGCATTTTGATTTTTAATTGAGGATAAACGTAGATGTCTATGGGCCACAGCACCTACTTACCATCAGGTGGACTGTGTGTTCGTTTGTCACCCTAAACTATAAAAAAAAATTAAGAACCCGTGAAATAACTATGTTTGTAATAATAAATTGTAACAAAAAAGTTAAAAAGGCCGGTACGGAAAGACATCAGGATACCAGAGTGAAATAGCATTCTGCCTAAAAGTCTGTCTAGGTACGTTAACCGTCTTATCTATTTCTGTTGACAGGCATTAGTGCGTGCACTGCCGTTTTCTTTCTGAAGGGTGTAGAGAGCCGGTCATATACTTTCTATGGAGCCTTTATTATTATAGGTTACATGGCATTATATCTTATATGTATATATTATATATATAATTCTAAAATGTATATGTTATATATTATAGCACAATACTGCTGCTGTTTTTTTTTTTTTTTTTTTTTATAGAATAGGGGGCAAACGAGCATGCGGCTCACCTGATGTTAAGTGACTACCGCCGCCCATGAACAACCGCAACACCAGGGGAATTGCAGATGCGTTGCCGGCCTTTTAGAAAGGTGTAAGCTCTTTTCTTGAAGGTTCCTAAGTCGTATCGGTTCGGAAAATTCGCTGGTGGTAATTGATTCCACAAAGAAGTTGTGCGAGGGAGAAAACTTCTTCTAAATCGCACAGTGGTGGACCGCCAATCATCCAGATGGTATGGATGGTAACGCGAGTTTTGTCGCGACGTGCGATGGTGAAATTGAGCGGCTGGAATTAGTCCGAACAATTCCTCAGAGCACTCCCCGTGATAGATGCGATAAAATACGCAAAGAGATGCAACATCTCTACGCAGTGCCAGTGTATCGAGCCGATCGGAAAGAACTCGGTCGTCGACGATTCGAATCGCTCTGCGCTGGATGCGGTCAAGTGGAAGGAGCTGGCACTGGGGTGCCCCGGCCCAGAGATGAGAACAGTATTCCATGTGGGGCCGAACTTGCGCTTTGTAAAGTTGCAAGCGATGTGCCGGCATGAAATACTGTCTCGCTCTGCTGAGCACGCCAAGCTTTTTAGAGGCCAATTTGGCCTTCCCTTCCAAGTGACCACGAAACTGCACGCTATTCGATATGTCGACGCCAAGGATTCCGATACTGGCTGAGGCAGCAAGGGGAGTGCCTTGAAACTGAGGAGATACGACAAAGGGGTTCTTTTTAGCGGTAAACGCGCAAACTTGTGTCTTCTGGGGATTGAACTGGACTAGATTTAGTCGGCCCCAATCCGAGACTTTGTTAAGCAAAGACTCGACTTCAGACACAAGTTTGTCCCGGTACTCGGCGACGTTTTCCCGAGAAATATTGGCACGGCCGGTATATAAGGCATCCCCAGTGCTGTCGTCTGCATAGCAATGAATGCTACCAGTTAGCAGCATATCATTGATATGCAGGAGAAACAGCGTTGGTGATAGCACGCAGCCTTGTGGAACACCAGCGTTGATAGGCTTGTAATCAGAGCATGCACCGTCTACTACGACCTTGATGCTCCGATCAGCAAGGAAACTGGTGATCCATTTGCACAATTTCTCGGGAAGCCCATAGGAAGGAAGCTTCGAAAGAAGCGCCTTGTGCCAGACCCGATCGAAGGCCTTTGCTATGTCCAAACTAACGGCCAATGCCTCCCCCTTGGACTCTACTGCCTCCGCCCATCTATGAGTTAAGTAAACTAAAAGATCACCTGCTGATCGACCCCGACGAAAACCGTACTGACGGTCACTGATCAGCTGGTGATCCTCAAGGTACCTCATGAGCTGGCAGTTTATAATGGATTCCATTATTTTGGAGAACAAGGAGGTGATGGCGATAGGCCTGTAGTTGGACGGGTCTGAGCGGTCGCCTTTTTTAGGGATCGGGTGGACCAAAGCTGTCTTCCATGAATTCGGGACTACGCCTTGGGAGTAGGAGTACCGGAAAAGACGCGTTAAAACCGGTGCCAACTCCGGAGCACACGTCTTCAGCACAATGGGAGGGACTCCATCGGGCCCACTCGACTTGCTGACGTCCAGGGAGAAGAGTGCTTTGCGAACCGAGCGCTGTGTAAATCGCACATCCGGCATGGAGCACTCACATCGCGGGATGGTCGGCGGTGTGTTCCCCCCGTCATCTAGAGTCGAGTTGGACGCAAAAAGAGAGCACAACAGATCGGCTTTCTCTTTTGCGGCATGGGCCAGTGAGTCGTCCTCTCTGTGCAGAGATGGGAGGGATGGCTGACAGAAGTTCCCTTGGACAGCCTTGGCGAGAGACCAGAATGCACGGGTTCCCGAAGGAAGGCGAACTAGCTTCTCGCCAATTCTGCCGATGTGCTCAGACCTTGCCTTGGCAATGACGCTTTTGAAGGACCTGGAGGCGGAATTATACTTCTTTTTAAGTGCGCTGGTGTTTAAATCCCGAGACGTTGATGCGTCAGCCCAGGCCCGGTAGCACTCCTGCTTATAGCGTGATGCTATTTTACAGGAGCGACCAAACCATGGCTGGGATCTGCCTCCGATGGGCACCACAGAGGATGGAATAAAAAGTTCCATACCCTGAAGTACCACATCAGCAACAGAATCGGCAACAACGCTGGGATCTTCCGGCGAGAAGCAAACCCGCCCCCAAGGGTAGGATGCAAAAAAAGACCGCATCCCGTCCCAATCAGCTGACCTATAGTGCCAAACACGGCGGCAAGCTGTAGATCGCAACTGCGATTGGAGCGTGAGTGGCACTGTGCTCCGGATCAGACAATGGTCCGAAGAGCCCAGAGGGGCATCGACGGAGACCTGATATCCGTCCGGATGAGAGGTCAGCAGAAGGTCCAACAGGGAAGGTACATGGTCTTCCACATCTGGGATCCGCGTAGGCGAAGTAACCAGTTGTGTTAGACCATATGCCAAAGCAAAGTCGTAGACAGATCTACCCGCATGATCGGTTGAACGAGAACCAAGCCATTCAGCGTGGTGGGCGTTGAAATCACCGAGTATAATGATCTCTGCGGATGGGATCTGTTGTAGCACGGAGTCTGCAGCCATTTGGACGTGGTCGATGAGTCGGTCTGTGTCGGCATTACCGCTATGGGACCTATAGAGGCACCCGTAGACGCGGGGATGGTCGTCGCTGTCTACGCGCAGCCATAGGATGGACAGGTCCGTACCTTCAAGGCTGCCGAGGCGTCGAAAACAGATGTCCTCTCTGACGTATACACAAACTCCAGCCCGGGGCACAAAGGAGTGTTCCAATTTGTACCCCGGGTAGGAGAGATATGAAGTATCAGCCGGAGAGGACACCTGAGTCTCGGTTAAAAAGAGCAAGGCCGGCTTCGCCGTCTCTAGATGGTAATGGACAGCGTTAAGGTTGGAATGAAGTCCCCTGATGTTGCAAAAATTCACGGATAGCGTGACAGGGGTCGCCTTGGTTGTATTGCTCCGCTTGCCCCGAGCAGCATTAGTCACGAGCGGAATTTTGCCCCCCCCAGAATACGCGGGGCAGCCTGAGCACCCACGCTCAGGAGTGAAGTAGTTTGTTCGTGGATGCTCAGCGAGGGATTCTCCAGGGTTGCTGGTACCCTCCTGGGGTAGTCTTGTATTTAATTCCACTACCATGTTGATGGGGGGGGGGGGGGGGGGAATTGGGCCTCCGGCCACCTGCACTCACCAAACGCAACGCAGAGGTAAACCTCTACTTCACGCTGGTATTCTGTGAGGTCGTGGTACCACCCCGGTTCGAGCTGGCCCATCCGTGCGACAGCAAAAGCTACCGCTTGGCTCTACCACTGTAAAAAACTACTGTGTTCTACGTATTGTAAGTGATAAGAACCGAAGACCCTTTTTTATTGATAACGGGGCATTTCATCTTGGTCTTCAGTGATGACACCTCATCATTACCCGTACTTCTATTTAAATTAAAAAAAAAACGGAGTGTAGGGTAGCCCCCCACTAGGTAACGATTTGGACATGCGGGAAATTGATGGATACAGCTTGCTTAAGAACGTGTTTTGTGACATTCCTTTGGGAAGATCTATGTTATCAGTGGATTGTGGAGGTTTGTGATAATGATGATGATGAACTGAATCGTAGAGCTAACTCTAAAGAAAAATGCTACGACATAAATAAAATGTAAGAGACTCTGTCTGTAATTTTAAAAAAATGCCTTTTATTAAGATTTTAAGCATAATTTACTACGCACTAAACATTCTAATTTAATATAATATATATTACTTGTGAGATACACTGTGTTTTCATGCGATGGCCAAGTCAATCTATGTATTTAAAACATAAAAGATTTTTAATATTGATATGGTCACTATAAGATGTTGTTAGGTTAGCTAATTACGTAATAACTTAAGACAGAAGGACCCTTAAGTCGGGCTGAATAAATTAACCGTCTTGGTATTACATGAATCTCACAACTTTTTACGGTAGAAGAGCTGAGTTGCGAGACTTGGGTTTTTTTACAAGTTTTGATTTTGTTGGCATAGAGTTCAGGGTACTGAAACTCGAAATGATCCATTTGAATGATCGACCTAAATGACCCGGTTCGTAAGAC